TGTATGGCCGCGTTTAATCACAAGTCCTTTTACAATAGCCTCATGGTTTATTTATTTATTTATTTATTTATTTATTTATTTATTTATTTATTTATTTATTTATTTATTTATTTATTTATTTATTTATTTATTTATTTATTTATTTATTTATTTATTTATTTATTTATTTATTTATTTATTTATTTATTTATTTATTTATTTATTTATTTATTTATTTATTTATTTATTTATTTATTTATTTATTTATTTATTTATTTATTTATTTATTTATTTATTTATTTATTTATTTATTTATTTATTTATTTATTTATTTATTTATTTATTTATTTATTTATTATTTATTAATTTATTTATTTATTTATTTGCGGGGCGGAAGTGGTGTAGTGACAAGTGGCGCGCTTACCACGCGAGCGGTCCGGGGATCAAATCCTGGGTCGTGAGTCGCCCGGGCCAACCAAGCCTTCCATCCCTCCGGGGTCGGTTAATTGGTACCAGACTTGTCTGGGAGGATAAAAACACTGACTTGTACATCGGCTGGCCCCGCAAGTCATTGTATAGGCCACATCGCATTCAAACGCCACTGCGAATGTACAAATGGAAGTAGAATGCGTGCCGCATCCCAAAAAGGGATTGATCAACGGCAAATGCTTTATCCTTTATCCTTTATCCTTAATTGGTGCGAGGTTAGCAATATAAAACCATACAACGACAAAGAAAAGGAGAAAAAAACAACATTGAAAAAAATCATAGAGTTAACAGAGTCTGAAAGCATATTGCACTGCAGATACTCTCACCAACTGTATTCAGTGCTCAACCTTTTTGAGGAGAGCCACGCAGAAAGTTGCAGGCCTCAAGTGCCAGGAATGCCAATGCTGGCTGCAAGCAGAGTGGTTCGGGGATAACGAGAAAATCACTAATCAGCCATTCACCGAATAACCACAACTTGTAAATTGGAATCATACTATGGTTTCCGAGAGCGCAATTTACATGGGATACAGTCCTGTAAAGCAGTAGAGTATTTTTTCGATGAAATTCTACCTTCGACATTTAACTTTGACAGGGTGGCACCCCAGCGTACGTAGCGCAAGGACGAGGGGTTTTTGCATCAGGCGAAAGTGCCGTTTGTCTTCAGAAAGACAGACTAACCTTTAGGGCGAAATTTTTGTTCAGATCCAGAATTTGGTATTTAAATCGGAAATCGAGCGCGTTGTCTACAATGTGATGTCCGCTGCCGCTGAGCAGTGTTTAACAGCGCGGCAACGCATTACAGCTCTAAGGTCAAGTAGAATTTTGTCGCTAGAAAACTTACCCTTACGAGATAAAAAATCCTAACCCGGTTAGTATTCCCAAGCATTAACCTCTCATGGGTGCGCAATTTGCGCTACAATTTTCCAACGCAGACACGATAGTAGTGTTATAACAGCTTAGGGTTTTACAGACAAGCGTGATATACCTGCTATGGATGCCGTCTCATGTGGAGATTAACTCGTGGGCTCAGCTGTTGATGATCATGCGTGCGATGCGACCGCTTCGTCATCTACACCCTTGTGCCGCACATCAGACGTGTTGTCGTCGAGCTTTGTCGCGGTTTCAAAGAAATTCTTCTGGTAAGCAATCACCGAAATAGTTGGTAGTTTCTTCCAGAAATATCTTCCGATTTCAGGTAACAATTCTGCTGATAGTTCTAATGTTTGTTTTCGCTAGCTTTGGAGTGCAAATCGTTGGAGGAAGCTTGGCAGCATGTAATGATCCAACAATCACAGCACGAGTAAGATTTTTCAGTTTCGGGTACAGGAACATGGTTACGATGAGGGTAGGGGTTATTGTAAACAATATCACATTATTCATAATGTGGGCAGATTCATGTTCTCAAAACTAATGCAGAATTTTCCTATCCAAGATATTTCATGCGCAAAAGCAATCTAGAAGGGCACTTTTTCGATCCTTCCATCCTGCTAACTCCACTTATTTGGAGCAACCGGGTAAGGAGTGGTAGCAACCAGCCATAAAATAAAAGGCTTCCGAGAGCCGCTATGCGAGTGGTTGTGCCCTTTAGCAGTGGATCCTAAATACTGAAACAAGTGTACATGCTGAGCAGAGGCGAATTTCGAGTTTCCACATCGGGTTCATCCTAGCTCGATGGAGTAGACTGTGCGGCAGTCATGCGCGGATCGGGTCTAAAACCCCTACAATCAGCTATAAGGACTTATTTTTAGAGGTCTCACGACGATTCTCTATAGCCTTTCGAAATTGTACATTGAAAGTTCGAACGCTGGGGAGCCACTCTTTTCGGGAATTTCGTGCAGCCCAGAAAGATGACGCCATCGCGAGATAGGAGACGGTCTTCTAGGGCTAAGTCTGGGAGGGAGGTGGCCACGATTCTTAGTTAAATAAAATTGCAGCCTGGAGTGCTCATCTTCCCCCTGAAGCTTAGTCCCATTTTGAGGAAAAAGAAGATGTTTTACGCGGTTTCAAATGCATTGCCAGCAGAATACCCTCAATCATGCGATAGCGCTCGGGGAGGGTCACTGAGATTCACTGAAAAAGTAAAATAAAATGTTTACTCGATTCAACTGACAATGTAGGATCAGAGTAAATGGAACCACCACTTTCCTCGTCCTATGGGTGCCCCAGTGCGCGTCGGCGGTGACCTGACCTATTGAGAGAACATGTCTTCCTCTGAGCGGCTCGGTGTGATACCTGAGGCCAATCACAACTCCCATGAGATGGTACTACCAAAACATTAGTCAGAAATGCGCAGTAATCCCAGAGATTCCGTGAACACGCTCGACGTGTCCATCAAAGAAACACTGCTGAAAGTGAAAGTAGCTTGATCGCAGCATGAGGTGGTTTTCCCCGTGGTCGTTGTTTTTTCACAACGTTTTCCATCAAAAAAATCGGTTGCTTGTTCAGGAAAACTGCACCGGGGTGTTCGAGCAAAAGATTTTCGTTACTAGAATGGAGGTGTACGGCAAAAACGATGACAAGCTTCATCCGAAAATCCTCGTGCCAAGGGTTTGGTGAGTTTCACAGCCTTCTCAAAATGTTTCTAAACAAATGCAAAAATGCAGAAGCAGCCCTGGCAGTGTAGCGAACGAAAAGATATCCTAAATTTGTTGCTTAACCTGAATGGCTTGTCGCTCAATCACCTCGTCAAATCAAAAATTCATGCTGGGGTTTATGCCGAAATTCAGACTTTCAGGACTAACCCCCGGAATTTCAACTTTGATCATATTGGAAATGCGATGCTAGCACTATTCGAGACTTTGTCCTACAAAGGCTGGAATGTGATCCGGGACATTCTTTATCTTCGCCAAGGACCGGTCCGTTTTGAGTTTTCTTCAGCTATCAGGGAAATTTTAATGACGGGGATGTGTTCCGAAAACTAGTAATTCAGTTGAACAGTCCCTCTTCAGAATGCCTTTGTCCTTTTCAGTCCTTATTACTGCTCAAAAACTGTCGCCAAAAGTGCATAGGAAATTTCTTGAGTGCACTACTGATTTGAACTCCTTCTAGAAGTTTATGATCTCAATTTCTCGTCCATTCTTGCTAACCGCTCTTTTTAGTGGGCAGTGCTGTTCATTCATATCTACGTGTTCATCGGATGTATGATCGGACTGACGCTGTTCGTGGGTGTCGTCGTCGCGAATTACACTGAAAACAGAGTAAGTTTTAAAAGAGCTGTCTGGTGACGATACCTTGTAGATGATTGCTTTACCAGGGCACTGCCCTTCTTACTGTTGACCAGCGACGTTGGCACGATCTGAAAGCGAGGTTGAAGATGGCACAGCCTCTGCACGTACCACCCAAACCGCCTGAAAGTGCCAAGTTGCGCAGTTATCTCTACGATCTTACCCTCAGCAGAGCCTTCAAACAGGTACAGCTACATTTCAACGCTGAAGTGAAAAAGAATATGTAGGGTACCCGGTTTTGAAATACTCCTTTGAAATAAGCCACGCACTTCACTGCTATCTGTAGGCGTTCAGGAATCATAATAATTGCTGTAAATACCAAATATACTGTTCTGCAGGGTCGCCTTATGTCGGATTAAGGTCTTACCATTAGTGCATCGCAGGTCTGACTGCTCGCGCTCTGTTGCCATTTTGGCAAAGCCAACCGTCCATTGTTGACCCTTCTAAACATGCCTTTTAAAGACGTTTATCCTCGGATTAAAGAAGAAAGCGATACATATCAATTTAACCCTTTCGGCCCTGGCGGTGGCAATTGCCACCACCAAATTCAAACGCTTGCATTGCCGCTGAAACAGCATGGTTTTTCTAATCCTGCTAGAGGTTGCTTCAGTCAACCTTCCCCTTCCTAATTATGAGCTAACCTGCCATTTCATTGTGTGTTGCTGTTAGTATTACAAGTATTTGTGTACAAGTGCAACAATGAATGGGCGCTGACCCCCGCAACCGGCCAAGTAAGTGTGACTTTTTCTTAAAATACTTGAAGTAGATCCATTCCTAAATCAAAATTATGGGTTATAATGTTATGCAAGATTATAAACTTTTTCGGCATAACTATGAAATTTGGAATTGTTTCGACATAAGCTTAAAAACTAAGAAGGTGGGCCAATTTTCAAAGCTTCTTAGTTTCTTTGTTTGTGATCGAATAGCTTCCAAATTTCGCCATAATGATACCTATATGCTCACAAGTAATAAACAATAGCTAGAAGAAAAATTTCTCCACGGGGAAAAATTCAGGTCCGAAAGGGTTAAAGGGTTTAGAGGGGACGTGGGGTCTCTCAATAGTACGCCAATGGCGAAAAAAGCAAAGAAATCCGTCGAAAATAAGCAAAATGGTACCCCTTTGATTGCCCTTTCATTTTCGACCATGGATGAGCGACGGTAAAGAACGACGTTGTTCGGACGTGTTAACCCCGATAGCCGCCATCATGCCAACAAGCATAGTGTTTTGATTGATAAGGCAATACGTGGGCAAGTTGGAAGATACAGCCGCTAGAAGGGAAATGATCATCCAAAATGAAAAGCCAACAGCAAACAGTCCATCCAGATCATCAACAAAACTAGTGGGCGTCACGTCACTGGGGGCGGGGCGTCACGCGGGTCCTGCTCAGCAACCACAGCACCTTTCGCCGTGGGAGGACCACACATCGCTTCCTTGGCAGCCAAGTAATTGCTCCGTGTGGCGCAGGTTCTCCCCCGATGCGAAAATTCCTTATCGTAATCGCTTCCTTTAAATTGGCCTCACAATGACTGCAGAGCTAAGAAGTGAACCGCCCGTCAAGATAAAATGAAAGAAACCGCCAACACTTAGAATTACGGCCGTCTTCCCCCTAGTGAGTGGCGCCTTGAGAAGGGCGGGATAACTCGCCTGAGGAACTGTGCGTTTGAGACAAGAGAGAGACACCGCCGAACGAGGACGAAAAGGCCATAACGATGAGTGAGACAACGATCACCCAATGCGAACATTGCATAAAATGACAACACATCCACCTATCACGACGCCTAGACCATTACATTGTGAGCAAGAGTAGTCAGCGGCGGTCATGACAAGAATTTAGCGCCCTTGTCGCGCTCTTTTGAGCGAGTAGTGCTATACTACGATAAAGGATCTGACGGATTCAGACTGCGTCGTGGTGGAATGTGTCCATTTCAATAGCGGATTTTAGATGATAAATCCAATACCTTAGAGAATTAAGACGCACTTCATCGAGGGTGCATGACGCAGAGTAGAAAAGATCAAGAATATAGGCCTCAGAACCGGAAAATGGGACCCTTTCTCCCCATTGATGTGCGCATTGGATCTACCGACTCTCATCAGTGCTACCCTCTCCAACGCTAAGCTTTCTCTGCTGAACGGTCAGGAGAATGAGACCGCAAGAGGGCGAGGGGCCCATAACACAGACAGCGCCGCGGGAAAGGACATGCTAGATTGTCAGGGCCTCTCCTTCTATGCGAATTGTGGGTCGGTTCGCACCCTTAGGAGGTCCGCTGTTTCTCCACTAAGTAAGCTTTCTCTTCTCTCGACCATCCGGCCTTGCCCTCCTTTAGTTCCATCTCTCCGTTTCCTTTGCTGATTCAGTAGTTGTTGATTACTAGTGGTCCAGCAGGTATTTAGTAGTGGCGTTGATGGGCCCAGTACGTGAGAATAGCAAACTTTTTTCACTTCCAATTTCAGTCGTTCGCCATCCTCGTGGTGGTTAATTCATTCACGTTGGTCGTCCCATGGAATGTCGAAGAAGAAAAGCAGCGGCGGAATGTTCTGTTCGGTCTCACGGTGCTGTCAGCGTTCTGCAACATTCTCTTCACCATCGAGGTTGATCTGCAAGCACTTCTTCGACAAGTAAAGGCATTCATACTTATGCTACACTTTTGTTGCAGATTCTGCTAAAAGCTGTCGCTTTTACTGTACGGGGTTTCTGGCAGTCGAGGCGAAATCGTGGCGATTTCTTTATCACCATGCTCGGTCTCACCTGGATCGTTTTTCACTTCCTTTTCCAGGGTTCGTCCTATATCAAATGCATCCTATATCAATCCTATCCTATATCAAATGCTGTGTATTCCGTTTCTTGGTGTTCTTTCTTATTTCTTTTTTTTTTGAAATGCAAATAGTTTTTTCAGTGCCCGCCTACATTGCAGGTGGTATCAATGAGTGGAAGAGGCTCACATATACCTTCGGCTATATGGTGGTCATCCTTCGCTTCTTCACCATCGCGGGTGAAGTACCTCCCCATCTGACGCTCCGAATTTCCAGAAGTTCCTGAGTTATAGGACGAAAATCAACGTTGAAAATGCTGATGTTGACGGTGTTGATGTCGATGGTCCGGTCACTATTCATTATAGCCGCCATGTTCCTATTAGTACTTTTCTACGCATACACCGGTGTAATTCTTTTCGGCATGGTCAAATACGGTCAGGCAGTCAGCAAGTGAGTGGAGAATTCTGCTGCTGAAAGCTCCTGCTGTCTTTTCCTGCTCTCATAGGTTTTTGCGCATTCATTTTAAGCCCTTACCTGCTTGCTTCTATACATGCTTATTTCTAAGCAGGGTAACCCGTCCGTTATTGTCTAGAAATACCTCGACGCGACCCACCACCCTAACCTTGCCCCTAACCGCCTCCAGCAGCATAGTCACCACTATGACTGTTTTTACAATATTTACAGACCACTTTACCTACTCCAACTCCATCCACTTTTCATTCCAAAAGGCCGTTGAGTAGGCGAGACGTGGCGAGGTGGGAGGGAGGAGGGGTGGGGGAGGAATAGGGCTAAGACGGCCAGAACAGCAGATACTCCAATTATGCCCATTTCATGCCTTTTTTGTGATTTCATTAAATTTTCGCTGAAATTCTTCGTACGATCTATCTCCTCGATCGCAGCCGCCCTTGGATGCATTCATCAAACAAAGTTTATTGCTTACTCGGGAAGAAATTTACTATTAGCGAGGAGTTGAAGTTATGGACCGAAATCGGTCAAAAAGATTGTCTGCCAAGGTCTTTCAAGAACGCGCACTGCCATTACGCTACCTGTAGAGACTTCAACGTAATGGATTTTAATACGCGCGGAATGCTTTACGAGTTCTGTAGGCATGAATTTTTTGTTGTGGTTATGATCGTAGAGGGAGGAGACCGTTGTGCGATGGAGTGGAGAGAGGATGTCGTTTGGACTTGTTCCACATTTTCCAATTCTCTATCGTTTCTTTCAAAAATGAATCTTTGTGCGTGAAATGTTTTTGTTACGTTGTCCTTGTCAAAACGTACGAAATGGAAGAAAAAACAGAAAAAGGCCTAGAACCCGAGAAATGGACCCCTTCCTTGCCCGTTGATTTGCGCATTGATGCGACTCTCATCGGTGCTGCCCTCTTCAACGCTAACGCTCTCTCTGCTGAACGGCTAGAGACTCAGACACGAGACGACGCGAGAGGGGGCGTACCGCACAACAGCGCGCCAATTGGGCCGCGGGAAGGCCATGCTAGACCGCTGAGAGTACATACTTCGATGCGAATGCGCGTCGATCCGCACCCTTGGGAGGTTCGACTGTCTCTCACTAGGTAAGTTCCCCTTCTCGACCTACGTTCTTATCGTGGAATCCTCCTTTGAGTGGATGGCCACAGTGCGCTTTACGCGCTCTTGCTAAAAGCGAGAACGGCATAACCTTTGCGCTTGCAAACATTGCTGCTTCGTTCATAGGAGGGATTACGTTGACGAATTGAACGTGGAATGTGCCCTTCAAAAGATATTGCCTTCTTTTGCCTACTGTCTTGTTAGAATCTACTTCTTTTCCTTGTCTCTAAAGTTCATTACCGTGCTCGTTTTGATTCCCCTTATGTTCTGGATCGAATTTTTCTGCATTTTACAGACACGTCAACTTCCGCAATGGCCGTGAGGCGCTGGTCGTTTTGTTCCGCTCCGTGACAGGAGAGGACTGGAATGATATCATGCACGATTGTATGGTGAGTGATCTCGGGATACTCTTGAGCTTGGTTAGTGGTTGGAGAAGCACTTGAAAGTTATGCTAGTTAGCACTTGAAACTTCTCACTTACGTATCGCGACACTGTCCTCTGCGAATACGACCCCCCCCCTGTTGACTATTGATCCAATGATAGTAATGGACGCTGCCGCCAGCTCATGCCACTCAGCTGATTTGTGCTGGAGATTAGTTAACTTCATCTGTTTAAAAGGTTGTTTACGTTCAATTCTAACCTCCACCTCCATCAATAGAGCCCTATGTATCTATGCTATCCTTCTATCATGTTTTTTGGAAGAAGAGTCCTGGGGGGGGGAGGAACTTATCGACCAGTCATTAAGGTCTTCTCAAGAACATTTTGCACCGCCTACTGTATCTCCAACAAACTAAGTTTCTTTTCGGCGCTTATTATGTTAGGGAGACACTGAACTAAGGGAGCCACTTACAGAACTTGGGAGGGAGCTTGGGGAGGGGAAACGATTCTGAGGGAGGACGTGAGCGACATTTAGTCTCCCTTAGTCCTAGTGTCACCTACCAGCTTTTTTAAACATCGTCCATGTCAACCGCGTCTCCCTCCCCCTGAAGCCATAAGCGTCTTCTTCCCAACATTCTGATCCCTGAAATGTGGTGTAGCTTTTCAAGCGTGGACGCATTTGTTATGTTAAGTACATATGATTATATGCGGAAATGCGGGTCCCATTTTCTCACTAGAATTGATGGGAATTTCGCTAAAAAAGCTCTGTCTATGGAACAGCTTATTTAGAGAGAGGACTTTATAGCTTTTGTTGCCAACATTCTGATGTTGATGAGGTACTAATTGTAGCAGTGGCTTTTTTTCTGTTGAAGAATATCTCTGGGATTTCTCTACACATTGAAAAACCACAAAGGAATTTAGTCTGCATCGTTAAAGACACAGCTGAAAACACCCATTGTGGCATTTAGCGCTCTCCGCCTTTCTGCTACTGGCCCGAAGGACTCAACTATTGGGAGACGGACTGCGGCAACTATTTCGGAGCAATTCTTTACTTCTGCTCATTCTATTTGATCATTACATACATAGTCCTTAACGTGCTCGTCGGTAAGGAGTTTACCGCTGTTAAACAAACCGGAGAGTTTACGTTGTCATTCAGCCATCATTATGGAGAACTTCTCCCTGTTCTACTCGAAGTGAGGAAGACGCCCTGCTCTTCCTATGCTGACATTCGAAATTTCCAGCAAGTTTGGAACTACGTCGATGCTGACCAAAAGGTGTGGATATCATTCAACTTTTCACTTGGGATCCCTATTTACACATTTATCCCTGAATTACTCAATTATGAGCTCCATCCCTGCAGTTCTCATGCTTCAGCGTTCAATTCCCACCCGTCGAGTGAAATTCCTCCTCCGCCTGCTCCGTGGGAGACTCGAGGTCGACCCGAACAAGGATCGACTACTTTTCAAGCATATGTGTTACGAGATGGAACGGTTGCACAATGGCGAAGATGTCTCATTTCACGACGTGCTCAAGTAGGTTCCCCAAAGACCCTTTGAATACCCACGGTTACCCCTGTCGTTACAGCATGCTCTCCTATCGAAGTGTAGACATCAGGAAGAGTCTTCAGTTGGAAGAGTTGTTACAACGCGAAGAGTTGGAATATCTTATTGAGGAAGAAGTCGCCAAGCAGACCATTCGTGCCTGGCTTGAAAGTTGTTTACGACGTATCAAGCAAAGGCAGCACGGGGTTTGTCACCTCATTTCCATTTCTATCATAGTCACAGTGGATTCAAAGTATTCATTTCAGGTACCATCTGAGAGTACAGTACCGACGTCACTACCTTTGCATCGGCTTAGCTGCTTTTTGCCTCATGTTCCCCATGCGCCATCTCAACACAATCTGGTCACTACACATTCAACTTCACCGCAGGCTACGGTATGCTTCGCTCATTTTCTAAGTTTTTAGGTGTGAAAGTTTGACTGAGCCTAAAAAATTATTTTTCTCAACCTTAACACAATTGCGCTTCTAACAATTCCACAAAAATTCTGATTTCTAAAAACCGGCAGTAAGTGTTCTGGTACCAGATATTTCTTACAAACCGGTGGAGGTACACCTTGAAGCCACGAGTCAGGATTAGGCGGCCATAGAAGGCCTTTCCATCACTAATATTTCCAGGAATGCGCTCAGAGGGGTGATGCCACTCCTGACTCGAGATTGCGCGCCGTCAAGGCCTCTGGCCTACTACTTACAGCGATGGGTTCGTTTCATCAGCTGGTCCCACCGCGGGATGTGGTGCGTGGCTGGCCTAACGTGTGAGATCAGCTAGGTTGATTGCCGTATCAACCGATGGAACGGCTGGCATATCCGGAAAACTCGTTTGGACGTGGCTCTTCCCAAGCAAGCCTCCTTCACTGCTAGTGGGAAGGGGTTTCGTTTTCGGCCTTGTCGACGGTTTTTCAGTTTTTTCTCCACTGTCGTTCCACTTCGCATCTCTATACTCAGTTTCAATCGCCATAATACCCCATTATTGAGCCCGACTTTTGCCTTTAAGTCTAAGTGCTTTGTAGTGCTAGCTTCGCTCCTGTAAAATGGCCGCATATTTTCAGCAAAACTTCGAATCGTTCGATTCTCGAGACAGCCTTGAAGAGGAAAGCGGAAGCAAAAAGAAAACGCGACGTAGGAATTCAATTCCGGAGCTGGTTGGCGAGGCGAGGAAATTTATGTTTGGCAGTCTGGCCAAACGGCTTGAGAAGGCCTCCGAAACGAAAACTGGTAAGGATCGTCGAGGGACACTCAAGCAAATCCAAGTGAGTTCGATTGGTTCATGACACAATTTGCCTTTAAACACGAACACATTCTACAGATGCCAACCTACGAGCTGCCCGACCTGGAGGAGAATCTTGATGAAGCCTGTGATTCTCCACAGGAACGACGCCATTCCGTCGACACTCCATTGAGCAATAATCCTGGTATGAGAAATGAGAATAATAGGAAAACATTTTGAATACTTATTTATCCAAGCTCTTTTGGCTCTGATAGGCCTTACCAAAATCTAGGTTCACGTACGTTGTCACGCCACTCTTACTGGTCTGAAGCTTTCCGCGCACAGCAGGACCTGCTTTCTCAAAGAAGTGGCTTTATTTCTACACCCCACATAGATTCCAATCTGTTCCACAGTAACTCAGTGCCCAAATATGCAGCGCCATTTAATAGTCTAAATATTGGTCTGAATAAGTTTCAATTTGAACCACCATTTTGGGAACATCACAACTTCAAGCTCCAATTCCTCAATTAACAATAATGGCGTTTCAACATCGTACATATTCGTCTTCAATGTCAAGAATTTGATTCTCAACTGGTTCCCGCTAGTGAAAATTAGAAGAATTTTTTTACTTTTGATTGCTACTTTTCTCGCTCAACGCTTATAGATGTTCGCCCCACTGTGAAGGACGAATTCACGATGAAAAAGCAACCCATTTCAAATTAACCCTAGGGATGGTGAGTGGTACACGAAAGAAGGAAGAACCATGAGAAACGGCCCAGAACCCGAGAAATGGTACCCCTTCCTTGCCCGTTGATTCGAGCATTGATGCGACTCTCATCGCTGTGCCCTCTTCAACACTACGCTCTCTCAGCTATCTAATCACTCGCCACGTATTGAACTACGGCGAGTGATCAGATGATCGGTGGGCGGAGATCGCCGGACCCGCCAGCTTTGAGGCATGATAGGTCGCCGAGGTCAAATTTTTCCATGCGAATTGCGCGCGTCAGTTCGCACCCTCAGGAGGTCCGTGGGTCCCTCAACTAGGTCAGTTTCCCTTTCTTCGACCTTCATTCTAATCGTGAATTCCTCCTTCAAAATGAACCTAAGAAGACTACATGCCACGTAGTAAATACAGCTGACAACAATCAATGATGATCACTGATGGATTGCCCACCTGAATGTAGTCATGTACCTAAGATTTGGCCGTTTTTCACCTAGTTGCTGGTGCTGAACAACCTCTACGCTCACTTCATGAGGTTTCAAACACTAATTGAGCAACACTCAGGACGCTTCACGCCTGTGGTGGACTGATCTGTTCGAGGCTTTGAACGATCGACTGCCGAACCCTCTGAGATGGGGTACGCCCTAAGGATTGCGGACGCTGGCATTGCACAGCTTGATGCTGGTAGAAATGTGCCTTCGAACGTTAAAAAGTTCATGCAGGGTATAGTGCAATAATAGATCTCAGATTCTACTACCCTAAATCATTTTCCTGAATTGTTTTGTGTTTACTTTTATTAGCAAGTGTTTGTTTATCCCCGTAACCTATCGTTGAAAAGCTGAAAAAGCAAAAAGCCCCTCCTCAAAAAACGATATCGGAGTGTTCGTTTTCCCGCCAGTTGTCTCTTGTCTTGTGTATGATTTTGCGAGCCATCGGAAAAGGAAGAAAGTATAGCACCCCGCTCCACGCCCACTTTGAGTGCGCCCACCACTTCTGCCTCCACGCCGTGTGTTCTGATAGGTATGCGCCTATCCAGTGAACTGCTGCCGGCGGCTACTAACAACTCAGCTGCCTATTCAGGCAAAATAGAGAGCTATGATCGTCCTGGATGGCCAAAAGGTCCCAGCATCGGTCCAGGGACGTCTGGCGTAATCAGCGGCGAAATCCAGACCAAAGTAAATTGCATCTGCCACTACAGCTCACTTTCTTGCAGCGCTCGCTCTTCAAGATATATTATACGATTACATGAAGTTAAGTTATCTACGCCAACGATCGAAGATCAGGGACGCTGCCGTTTTCGCCAAGGAATCGAAGATAAGGTGGGCCGGACACGTCATGCGATTTTGCGATGACCGTTGGACCAGAGCGGTTACCGACTGGATCCCTCGGGACGTCAAACGAACACCTGGACGACCCGCCGGCCCGATGGTCAGACTTCTTCACGAAAGCTCTGAACGAAAGGAATGATGGACTTCGTGTCCCTCGAGCAAGGAGGATCCACTGGACCACTCCTAGCACGCGACAGGGACGAATGGAGACGTTGCTGGCGCCCGCTCGAGCAAATTCGATGATCAACGGGACGACAGGTGATACAGGTGATACAGGTGAATCGAATAAGAAGCCAAAAAATTGCTTAGTAGGAGACAGGCGGAATCTCTTTCTCACTTGGCCGACGTGCAAATGGCAGCGAAAGATTTGACCTCGGCGATCTACTATGGTCACACTTGGCGTAGTTGGCGCGGTACGCCCACTGAAATAACAGAGAGCGTTAGCGTTGAAAAGGGCACAACTATGAGAGTCGCATCAACTCAGCAGAAGCAGAGGCAGGCGTGGTCTCATGCTCGTGTTATGTCTGTTTGTATTAATGCTCGCTGTTTCTATGGTTTTCCTTCCTTATTCTTGCATCACCTAACCCCCTCAATTGATTGAATGGAATTGCTTTTAGCGTAACGTCCGCCTCGTAAACTTCGGATAAATGCCTAGCGGGAACCCGTTAGCAATTGCAGCAAATCTGTAACATACTCATTCAAAGCTGAAAAAGGTGTAAGCAGCTGCCTGCTAAATGATCTAACACACCCCATCGGCCGCTTACAATTATATGTTACAAAGCCGAGACCGCTAACGATAACCCACCAGTGTCATACAATTGGCTTCGACGCTTTCACTCTCTTATCGCTGAGACCCAGTCCGATAGCTCCGCCCCAATAGCCCGCTCCCACATGTCGGCCACCACATAGCTATGCGAACATTTCGAGCTTACGGCCTTCCTTGCAAGTCTTTGTTTATTAAAGCTTACATCCAACAGTCGACTGTTTCACTGAGCAGTGTTAGTTCGTGGTCACGCGAAAGCCGCAAGAAGGCCAGAAATCTACGCGCAGTGCGATACTTGATTTCGAGCCAATCGTTGCCAAAAAACGCAGCTCTATCCGGTATAATCTTTTACCAATGTACTATGTGCTTTTGCATTACGCTACCATCTCATCTTAGTAATTTCGCGCGGCAGTTGGGCGTAGGTTTCTCCAGGGGCCATTGGTGGCTTTCCTACGACTTGATCCACGTGACGATGCACTTGACAGACATAGCCTCATTCATAAGCTTTGAACCGCAGCATGCTTTGCTGATTGTCGCTTCACACGAAGTTCAGCAATGAAGACAAACTGCCTCCACTCAGCACCTACAGCTGTACTACTCCCAATGCGATTACGTCCCGTCGTTCACACGTTTATTCTGAAGTCCTTTAGCTCCTCCTCTACACCTTTCAGCCACTGTCTCCAGAAATTCCTTCAGTAGACACCTTTAGACGAATCGAGTCGAGACACGACGATTAGCGACCATCTCGCCTTACGCGCACCCTTAGCCTGTACCACCTTTAAATCCTGTGCACGAACAATAGCCTCCTATCACCTCGGGCCGCCACTATCACCAGAGTCCATAACTCAACATTTACTTTTCTCATCTATTTTATAGAGCGTTTACCACGTTTGAGAAAACACATTTATATTTCCCCAAGCTCCTCCGCGCCCTGAGGAAGATAAGAACGATCTCCTCTAATAGTAAAATGCCAGAAAGTACATATCTAACAGTTCGCCCTAGCGGACCTTCGTATTTCTTTCATCCAGCTCTACCAACATTATCATCCGTTAATTCACAAATATGCTTTGGAATCTTCTACTGTTTCGGTCTCAACTTAGGTCATACAATTCCGAGCCCAATCGTAACACGGAACGCTGTTTTATCCCTTGTAGAGTGACCGCCAGCATCCGAAGCGATCAGAACGCATTTCTTCGATACTTGCGGCGGCTGTTGCGAAAGTCTGCGCGAGATATATCCCCCCATACTACCATCAATTATCGAACCCACCTATCGTTAGGAACTGCGAAAGTACACGCACGATACTGCTGATCAGACGGCCTCTTTGAATGTGCAACCGGCCGCATATGCACTGAGCCATTATTCGCGAGGACACGGCTGTAAGCGACTTAGATCCGTGGGACGAAAATACCACGACCACTTCTTATAACTGCCTTAGTCCCCTGCAGGCTGTCCCTGCCCAGTCCGGTAGCGCTGGATCAGCAAACAGCCGAAGGCGAGGAAATCTCAGGGCCGTAGGCTACCAAAGGAGACGGACAAGAGCGAGCCAACTGATTGCCTGTACCTACAACTGCCGTAGCATCAGTTCGGCCGCTCAGCTTTCTACACTTATCGATGAAGCTCGACGGATCAAATACCATATAATCGGCCTCAGTGAAACAAAGCGGAAGGAGCCCTTGTCCTGCACGTGGACCGATGGGACGTCAGTATTCCTAGGAGCCCGCAAGTCTAACTCAACATCAGGAGGCGTTGGCTTCCCTTTCCATCGAAACAATCCAATCTCAGACCCCTTTTCGCCGCGAGCCGTACGTTATCCTAAAAACATGCGCTTGTGCCGTCACACTCTGACTATGACGTAATCCATAGTCTCTGGCTCCGCCGTGCTAACGCTTCGCTCGCGAGAGGCGACCATACAGAGCATCACTTGCGGCAGTATAGCTTTTTGTAACGTGCCTCTCACTTTCTCACATTCGGATCGGCATAATACAAGTACCAGGCTGCGATGATAAAATGTATTCAGCCGTTCCACACGATTGACTTCAACAAACTTGAACAACTTGCCTAGCAGAAACCCACCCTACTCACGCTGCATTTTGGCAACGTGTAGAAAATGCGCCCCAAGCATACATCACACCGACCTACTATTAGCGTAATTCGATGAAGAAATAATTGGGCGAGCTTCAAACGGCTTCTGAAGATTCATATGGTGAGAGCGGAGAGGTCTCATCGGTCCCCATTCCGTCCAGACTTCTGTGTGCTGAAGTACGTATTGTCTAACTTTCATTCCGAGTCTCGCCAAGCAGACGATACGGAGCACACTTAAAGTCTGGCACAGAGACTACCCCGACGTTTTGTACGATAAACCGCAAAGCGTTCACGACACTCGAGTATTCTTCAGCACGCTGCACCTACACTCCGTATCAAATCG